CCACTATAACTGAAGAAACATAACTATATATCACAGAAGAAGAAGAGTACTTAATGAGGAATGTTTTTATCCTTCAAGTTGGAAGAAAATGAAATCTCCAAAAGAAGAATCTTTAAACTTTTGCTAAAGTGTATATTAATGAGCCCGCAAAGCTGGAGTGATACAGTAATCTTCATTCACAGATAAGACAGAAATTAATTGAAAGTTTCATCATAAGTTTTTCAGGAGGAAGAATGGCCTCAATTAACTTCTGTGCCAATTTGACTATTGACTAATCGGACTCTTCTTGAGAGACTTAGAGAAACAATTAACATTTACTTCAGCATCCCTCTGCCATCTCCATTCACTGTCCTAACGTCTTAGTAATTATTTGTGCATCAGAGCTATTAAAGCCTTCAAGCCAGGTAGAAGCCGAGTCAATCACCTCTTGTTTGAATGTTCTTATGTAGATATCTTCCAATGTTTTCACATCAGCATGCAAACTAAGAGATGATCACGTGGTTAACAGCCAAATAACACATCCCTCCACCTTAAGTAAAATTAGAATATGTATCATGTAATGTTTTTGATGGTTAAATATTGCTATTGTTTATTAAGATTTTCACCTTGTAATTGTTTTAAAAATACTGTTACTGATTATACATTCTTTTTATGTGCTTCAACTTGTAATTTATCATTTAACCATAACCAACACTACATTACATCTGCAGACATACTGTAGATAAAGTGAAAAAGCCACGAGTCAGGCTGGATTTATTGTAGTGTAAACCCCACAACACCAATGGAAGAAGCAAGGCGTTACAGATAGACAGATGTAGTTTATCGATAACTCTACAAGTCTCATTAATTTGCTGGTTTGAAACAATGTACTGTACCCCATACTGGTGGCAGGTAAGAAATTCTGTCAAGGCTTGTGAAATCAGAGTCATGGATTTATCCCGTATCTACACTAGGCATTTCTGTACTCTTGGGTGCAAACTGTGGTCTAAGAAAGAGAGCATTCATATTTTACACCTCTCTATGACCCAAGGTTGTGTCAGAATAGTGATTCATACATTTCCTTAAATTCAGTAATCCCCAGTGTAAAAACTTTAGAATATAATGATGCCTGACTTTTGTTATTTGGGTGGCTGACATGCAGAATAAATGTTTGCATTTGAAGTAAGAAAAAAGCAAAGTCTTATGACTGGATTGAAAATACTGAGAATAGACTATAATGGTCTCTTGTGCTTCTTTTAATACCAGGTTTAGAACTTTTTTTCCCCCATTATACTGTATGTGTCAAAAGAACACAGAAGAGGCAATGATTGATGGGTCAAGAAAGAACAAAGTTCCCTTTTCAAAGTTATGAAAGAAAATGTCTTCACTTGAACTGAAATCACAAGCAGAAGTGGGAAATGACCCCTGAGAACACTGCAAACAGTGAATCATGAATCCAATACTGTATATTTAAGCCTCAGTTATTAAATTGGCATGTTTAATTGCTTAGCAGCTTGTGCTTGGCAGTTTGTCAATTAACACATCATTTTGCATAATATAAAAAGTGAATATGGAAAAGAAAAGGATTAATCCAGAAGATTCCTGGAATAAACAAGGTCAAATTATTGAATAATATATAAAAAAAATATTTCATTTGTTTGTAGTTCCCATTCACCAGAATTCTCCAAAGGTATTAATATAAGACTAATATATACCTATAACAATACATATAAGAAAGCTATAGTTCTTCATACATTTGTATTAGTTTTAATGATACAGTTACTGTATACTGTATGTTATGTCAGATTATCGTATTTTATATCTGCTTCGTCTGTTAGAATAAAGAAGTTGCTTTCTGTAGATGAAAATTCATTCTTAATGGGACCAATTTTGAACTTAGTCATTTTATATTATTAGAAATAAAGAGAATGTTAAAGTAATTTAGAAGAGGTGGTAGTAAAAATATGGAGTAAATACTGAAGTAAATTCAGATGTTATTTTCATCTATTTAACGCATTTTATAATGCCACTGTATATATAGTATTTTCTTAGCCCCTCACACAACAATACAATAATTAACAGCTGCTTTTCGAAAGTTTGATATTCTCTCAATTTTTCATTTTATAGAATATTTTAAATGACTGTGTACTCCTTCATGTATAGGCAAATGCATACACTATTCTCTGCAATATGTTAGTGTCTTGGTAAGACTAAAACATCAAGTAACCAGAACTGTAGGTTATGGACTTTTTGTTGTTCTTCCTCTAAAGATTTGTTATTAATGCTCAGTGTTAAGGATTTAAAGAACATGGGAGTAAATTATTAATGAAGCTAGGATGATGGCAAGAATGTTGATTAAACTGTGACCTTTGGAAGATGACAAGACATTGTGCCTGAATCTTGTTAAGCTAGTTCTGGCCCCTTTTAACATGCACTATAATCTCTAAAGACCCCTTGCGGCTACTTTATTGGGCTTGGCATGAGGCATGCATAACTAAGCAATAAAATCAATTGCATGGAACCTGTACACTTTTCACTGAGCTCTGCTCCCTTCTCGCTTTGCTTCCTCCAACTTTAATTACCTTCTCAATTAACAAAGGGCCCATAGCCCATTGAAGGTAGTGTTGCGAGGGGGTTGGGGGTGGGACGTGGGGAATGTGAGTGGATTAATGAGTCCTACCATATGTAAGCAGGCATATGAGTTTTTAAAAAGTATTAACATTCCTCAGAGGCCTGTTAAGCATTCTAATGCTGGTTTGCACCACACAAGCAGTAATCTATCCATAATTAGGAAGCAAATGAGGTTTAAATATTATAAAGGAACTGGATTCTTGGTAGGAGACATACAGTAGGTACTACTGTAGCAGCAACCCAGGCTATATAACCTGTAGATGTCACCATGTTTTAGTATACATAGACAAGGGATGTTTCTTGGGTGTTACTTTTTAATTTGAAGAAACTCAGTAAGTCACAAGAAACAAACACTTGTGAATTCTGGCTTCTGTGCTAGATATGAACATTCCCAAAACTCCCAATGAATATTGGGAAGCATTGTTGGCCTCTGTTTTCTTTGTCAAATCTTCTATGTGAAACGACCCAGCTGCCTTCATGTATTCCTATCTTACAACAACATTTTTGGAATGTTAAGTGGTGTAAAGACTAAATGCATAGAGACTTTAGGCTAAAGTGTATGTACATACTATATACAGTATACAGTACAGTACATTCATACTTCCATTCATCCAATTGAAGGCTAAACAAAGCTGACATGAAACGCCAACATTTTACTTTTAAATATATTCTATAAACACATGGAAATATGATAATTCCTGAAAAAAGTAAAGAAACTGCTAGGGATTTTGTGATTTTACTTTTTAACTTAACAGTGTATAGGATTTAGAAATGTGTTCTGCAACAATATCTCCACATGATAACCATATTTTTATTTTGTTTTCAATCAAAATACATTTATTTTTTAAATATAATTGTTTAGCACTGATGGGAAAATAATTTGGCAAACCAAAAATAAACTGTATATACAATTCTACTTATCATTCATAAATCCATATCTTTTGACTGTAAAGCATAAAGTGTAAATAACAGTCCAAATACTTTTAAAGGGGTACCATACAGTTCAATGTAAAATAAATTTGTGTTCAAAATGAATTATGAAAATGTAAGTTTTCTGTTTTGTTAACTTTTGTCTCTGGCAGGCAAACAGAAACTTGGGTGCTAAAATCCCAGTATTTAATCACCCTGCTCAAACACTGCTTTTCTTTTAACACAGAAGTCCTGGAGAACACCAATCCAGTTAGTTGTGCAGGTCACCCTATATCATCTGTTATTTAAGAATAAGCAACACTTGTTAAAGTTATTGATCAAGCAAGTAATTTGTCCAATTACGTGAATTATCTGGTCCTTTAGGTCTGGATAGCTTTCTGTTGTTTCTTTTAAAATTGTCTGTAATTTACCTTACTAAACACACCACCTGCTTAAGTGATGATGGTTACATTTTTCCAGGTCATGGTTAAAAATTGGTTTAATATGTGACGAAACAATTCTGTATTGGCTTCTCCAGAACCAGATTTGCTGGCCCCTGGTTTATCGAAAGGAATGAGCTTGATATGTACAGGGTAAGTCCCAAAGTCCTTATCACCCTGGAGGTGATGTTCAATTGTATGTAACCACCAAGATTGAGATTTGTTGCTCTTTTATATTGTTGATGCACTTCCAGCTATAATAAACCAGGGCTTTTGATGGTCTGTTCATGTATTTTTTATGTATAATCACATTAATAATGTTTTTAGACATTAAGGATTGATTCCACAATAAATCCAGGACGTAATACTTCAAATTCCAGACCTACCCCTTCCTGGGCCTATTGAGTGTATGACCTGATAATTATCTTTAACATTTTAAATAGTTGAGGATGACATTTGTCATATCTTTGTATCGTCATGTAATTTCTTTAAAACTTGTATTCAGTGTGAAAATGTCTCTACTGTATAAACCAAAATTAAAAGGAGGATCATTTCTGCATTTTCTCACAGAGCCTTCTTAGAATTAATTGCTTTCTTTATAGCCTCTCAATTGAAAAAAAAAAAGCCTAAATCCCCTTTCATTTACTCATAAAAACATTGTTCCTTAGACAAAGAGTAATTATTCCAGATTTCATCCTGACATCTTCTGAGATGGTAAAGATACCACATCATGTTGGATAGAAAAAACAACATTTTCAAAATTAAAATACATGTAAAAAACTTCAGGAACTATGTTACGATGATGTAAAAGTGAAAAGAGGATTCAGACAACAGTAACAGCAGAATCATCACTGGGTAGGTTTTACTACACAATTCACCTTGTTTTTCAGTTTTTTTCAGTCCTGTGAGTCTATATTACTGCACAATATTTTACAAAACATCACAATCGATACGTGAAATACATGAACTGCAAAGTTATTTTTCTGGTTGATCATACTGATCCAAACCTGAAATCAGACAAGAAATCAACAAGGCTCTTACTGATCATTGTGAAATGGTCACATTTAATGGACAACTGCTCCTTTTATATACATCTATAAAAAATTCTGATACATGTTACAAGAATCTAAAGCTAATACATACATTATTAAATAATAAACTTTTCATGTTAAAGATACGTATCATAGTTTACAAAATATGATCAGGGGAATTATGCACTTATATATGCCTGTAAAAACTAAGATCCTATATGTATATTTTATTTAATAATAAACAAATACATAGAGCACAACAATATTCCTTGAATAACATAATATTAAATTATGGAATCTGCAATTAAAACATAATGTAAGATGCTTTTGTAAAGGCAATGGAAAAAAAGACTAGCTTCTATCAGGATTCAAAGCAAAATAAGCTATGTTGAAGCACCTTACAATTTTGTAATGAATGGACTAAAATATATTGCTTCTTAGTAAAAAAAAAATGCAGTCCACATCAGGCACATAAAACCTAATTGTTTTAAACACCATTAGTATAAGAACTCCGTTATGATAACTGGGCTCATATCTGAAAAAAAAATAAAGGAAAATATCATTTAAAAAATGTTAGTCCTGTTTCCATAGATACTGCAACACTGACAGCTGTCTCCAAGTTGTGTTAGTTTGGGATTTGTCCTCACTACACAGGCACAGGGTTGTGGAAAGCTGAGGATTATGGGTAAACGGTTTCCGGGGTAAGTCTTTGGCATGATGAGTTAGCTGTATGTAGCTGTGAAGTGTACGTACAGTACCAAGCTACTTGTATTCAGGTGTTTTTCCAAAACGTGTGGCCAAAAAAGAAAAACTTCTTCCTTGTGCTGATGTTTAGTGTACAATGTATTTTTAATAACCTGGCTCCATAATTCTTTTGCTTCCCTTAGGTTCAGTCCTGTCTCTGTGTAGTTTTTGTTTAGAAAGTTTTCTTCATTTTTTACACTTTTTACATTCTTTGTGAGAAACTTAATTAAAGAATCAATGCACGATATCCATTTAAACATGTGCAAAATAGAAATAGAAGACTTTTCTCAATTTGTTCCACAGGAATGCAACACAGATATCTGTAAAACAGAAAAAAGGACATGTCACTCACTCACTATATATATATAACTGAATTGCATGTTATAATATTATATACAATTATGATGTTTTGATATTAATAACAAGATATAGGTTTTACATAGGAAATTCTGTTCATTGCAAAGTAAAATCCCATCCATGTTGAAATAGAATTAGAAGTGCAGTATTTTACAAGTGTAAAAGTTCTGTGTGTACTGTATCTAGAGCAATATGAAAGATGTGGGCCAGTGTTTTGATGCCATCATTGTGAACCTGACAAATTTTCCTTAGGGACAGAAATGTTGACAAGTTTGTTCCTGTTGCAAAACTTAATAATAACAATAATAAATCTGAATTGTGCCCTGGATGCCAGTATTTTCCTTTTATCGCTGGTTAATCCATAATATCCATCAATAAGAAACGCTTAATGAAATACTAGCAATGTGTTAGGTGGTGCCATGAAATGATAGCAGCAATAATGGGCATGCCACAGAGACTGGCAAAAACAGTGTAAACAGCTTAAACCAGTGCATAATTACATCACTGATTGCAATATTATCATGCATTATTGCATTATTAATGCAAAAATTAGCATGTGATTATTTCTGTGTACAGTAAACAGACACATTAACAGGTGTGTCAGGGTAGTTTGATAGGCACTGTAGCCTAAAACAATGCTTGAAGATAAGATCATGATGGTTCAGATATGGCAGTGTAAATACCACGCATAATAAGACTGCACCAAAGTCTCTGGGTCTTTAACTATTTAGGACACCATTTCATTAATCAAACCCTGGATGAGATCTAGGAAACACCAACAGGTTAAATTACATATTTCCTACACTGAATCTCCACAATCAAAAAAGCCCTTTGTTGTACCTGCTGAATGGTATTTCCACTGAGGCAAACTAAACATCTGAACAGCAAAATAGTTTTTACCTCATAAATAAATGCAGGTCTTACTAAAGCATTAAAACACATAGAAAATGAATAAAAAGCACTATGATGTTTTAAAACTCCATGCTTAATACAAAACTATAAAAGTAATGATCCAGTGTAGGTTCCAAATGTGCTGAAGACTCTTGTTTTGTGTCAGAAAATAAAAAAAAACTAAGTTTTCAAAAGAACTGCACTAGAAATCACAAAAAAACATAATACAGCAGTTTAGCAAAAATACAACACAAAGGAGGACACTGGACATCAGTTAAAATGCTTCACTGCTATGTTCCTAAGAGAGTACAAGCTGAAAAGATCCTAAACTATGAAGTTTGTCTGATGCTGGAGGCAGCTTCCTGAGAGGCTGACTGACCAGTAGCCTGTGCAATGTCAATCTTACAGATCTAGGCAGTCAGTACTTCAATTACTTTAGAGCAGGGCACCTTGCTGACCAGCCACAGATAACATATGCTGGAATAGACATATAATTAATCATAAATCTTAAAATAATGGCAACCAACCTAAATTAAAGCTAATGAAAAAATGAATGGGATATTGAGTATATCCCATCTGGTTTTCACCTGGTTAAGGAGATACAGAGGCAATGTTTTAACCTACATGTTCTTCACTCTGCTAATAGTTATCTGTTTTAAAGCCAATTTTATTTTAATTTTGTGCAAACTTGTGCAATTGGTTATTGACTAGAATTATATTAAATACTACTGTAAATTGTATTCTCTGTAAGCTCGGTTTATCCAGAACTACAATGTACAGTCTATGATATGGGGCTTATTAAGAAATACTGGGATGTTTTAGCATGTCTGTCATTTGATTTAACAAGGTCACAAACATAACCATATCCTGACTTATTTTTATGGAACAATAACTCTTCATTTACTATAAAGTACAGCCAAATGTTTTATTAATAAGTTCGGCAGCTGCCGAAACATTATTTTACACAGTTGGATAACACATGACCTCCAATTGGAAAGATTTTTACTAAGTAACTCTAGATATAACAGTTATAGACAACTAGCAAAAAATAATAAGTTTTACTCAGAAACACTTAACGTTTAAAACAAAACTGCTGCCCTAGCTAATGTTATTCTGACCTCATGATTACATTACACTGAGTAGTGAAAGCTGTTTAAATTCTTTTCTTGTTTTAAGTCTATGTTGTGGGACACAGGCTATAATACATGATGATCTACTTAATTAGAGTAGTAATGGGATACTTTCATGATTGATTACCTAACAGTCAGTGAAGGTACAACATTTTAAATGAGAAATTCTAGAGACTACCATCAATCATAATTTTGCCTTCATTTAGAAACTATTGACCTACAGTAAAGCCACTGCACAATGATATCCTACCTGGACCTTTGTAATCCTTTGATGATAAAACAACACAACTATAAATGCAGCATAGTGCCGCTGGGACTGCAAGACAACGCAAGTATTTTGTGAGTCAAATATTGTCCTTTTACATCAGAATACCTTCAAGTACATTACAATGTGCACAAATCATTGCAAAAGGAAAATATAGTTATTCTATGTAAGTGATACAACAAAGAACAGAGAGTGTGAAATTATTTCACCAAATGGTGTGATCCATAATTTCTAATCCTGTCTCCAGAAGACTATCCAGACATATCCTAGGATTTAAAACAACTCTTAGAAACCCTACCGTAAAGAACCACATTATGGCAGTAACACTGTGAAATAATGTTGTTAAATGTATCCACATTGTCACTGTGACGGCAAACTTGTTTCCTCTTCAATTGGAAAACATAATGATTGGAACCAAACCCTCTGGGCATTCTGGTTTTCGACAGTAGATGCCCTTAAGCTATGCAAAGAATACAAGTACCATTCCATGAAGAAAAGTAAAAAAATATATACGTTATTTTCGTACAGTGCTGCTAGAAAGTTGGTAAACCCTTTAGAATTTTCTGAATTTTTGCATAAATTTGACCTAAAATGTGATCAGATCTTCATCTAAATCATAAAAATAGATAAAGACATCCCAATAAAACAAATAACACACAACATTGCTGCTCAAGCATAGGTTCACATACTTTTTCCGACAAGGACATTTAATGTTGGATCATTTTGATCAATTGATGAATGAAAAAGTATATCCTTTTGTGTTTTATTTGTTTTATTGGGTTCTCTTTACCTATTTTTATGACTTAGATGAAGATCTGATCACATTTTAACTTATGCAGAAATTCAGAAAATTCTAAAGGGCTCACAAGCTTTCTAGCACCACTGTAAGTCTTGAAATGCTGTATCCTGTTCACATGTGGCACACACAAGTCTTAGCTCTCATGTTCCTGCTTTCGCCCTCATTCTCCCATATACCTGAAGAAGGCTCAAAAACTGAAAGGTTTTTCTTCTTTTTTTCAGTTTTTTGTATGGAATTAACTTTGACTTTCTATAAAGTTCAGAGTGAAGATAATAAAAGTGACAATCAAAGTTCGTTTCATCATTGTGTTCATTCTTCTGCTTCTATTTTGTTTTTTTGCTAATGTTCTAACTCAATATTTCATTCACGCAGTTTTTCACATGACAGTGATCTTCATAGAATATTCAAAGACACTAAACAAATATTCTATGCACTTCAAAGCATCCAGACCTTTCGGCAGCAGCTGAAATGTATGAAACAATTGGGACAAATTGAAAAATCCATCTTGGTTGTCCTGGATTTCAACTTGTACAGAGTCAGCCATAATGAAAATATGACATTATTTTGAATTCTTTGTTGTTTTTTTTGCTGTGCACATTTCTGAAGTCTACTGCCAAAGAAGAATCTGTTCACATTGTCAGTAGGTCCTGATTGAAAAGTGGTGGCTGTCGATAGTGTCAATATATAATTTTACACATCATTTGACTAGCTATTTCTTTCAGATGCTCCTAGTATAGTAGCTCTCAGAATATACACACTAGAAAGAGCTTCTTCTCTCACTAGCTTACTCTGCTAAAGGTCTACTTTTACTGTACCTTGTTCTCTCATCTGAGCAGTGCATATCCATTACCATAACTAATTTGGCTTCTACACACAACTGTACAGAAGTTCAAGGGCCTTTAGGGTGTTGAACTGCATTCTGAAGGGAATGTATTTAATTTATATTTATATACACTGTGCTTTTGCAACACCTCAAATTTATCTTGCTTTATATTTTCCAGAAAAGCTTGATTGGTGGGGAGGTTATGTTTTTATATGTATTATATTTATATTTACTTCATTTATACATTTAGAATATATTCATCTTAAGTTCTAGATGCTGTTAAAGCCCTTCATGTTTTCAAAACTTCACTGTTGGTGGTACCAGGTTTTACCTTGAGATCATTGAGTACAAAACTCCTTGGATCTCACTGGCATTTGGAGGCACTTTTAACCGTCAATAAGCTGCTTTAATTCACACCTTGTTTACGGCCCTCTATTCCCGTTCTGTCTACAGTAGGAATATTGGTTAAAATGAGTGTCGGGAATCAAATTGTAAATGTGATTTTAGCTAAAGTCTCTGGAATCTTTTGTTACTGAAAAATACCCTGGACTGCCTGTTTATATTTATAGTTTTAGGTTAAGCATTTATATTTGTTTACATTTTATAAGAAGCTGAAGAAAGATCAAGTTAAACCTCCTTACTCCGTGAGGCTCCATACCTACCACATAAGAGAGATGACGACAGAGGCAACAAGGAGACTGGCTGACCACGCCAATGACGAAGAGCCACCCAGAGGGTTTCCCAGTCGGGGCTCTGCTGATGCTGGAGCTGGGGATGGGGTTGTTTCTAAAGCCACAAAAACAAAATCTTCAGATATTAATATTATTTTAAGCAGGGTGAGATACCTTCAATACTACATTTAATCACCTTCTATTGCATGATGTGAATTAAGGATAAGAAACCTGTTCTCCAGTTGTCAATTGACTAGAGCTTTACCTAGTTGCTCTGCTACCATGGTAACACATTGGTTTCCTTTTTTTTCTCCCAATCAGATGCTAGATGACAACATTTATTTGTTTGAATCATATTATAGTACACAGACATCTTTTGTAGTTTTACATTTCTATTTTTGCAAGGGTGTGAAGGCTCCCAGTGTGACATTGAGTTGTTAGGAAAGGAATTATTTTTGTGTGTGTGATCAATATTTCAAAATTGTAGGATGGCAAATAAATTATGCAAGAAAAACTTTTTTTTAAGTATCTTAAATAGTAACAGTTACATTTATTGTGAGTTACATGTTTTATTCACAGTGTGACAACATTATTTAGCTTGCCTTTTCACTTCTCAATGAACTTTGCTAATTTACATTTACAGTATACTGTACTTATGAGGATTCAAAAATCCACATTTCACTTGCCATGGAAGGGATGTAACCTACAACACCAGTACATCTTTTTTCTTGTTACTATTTTATTTGTATTATATACAGAAGCAAGAAGTGATTTAGGAGAAAAATATTCACACATTAAATTGAACTGTAAGCTTTAGTTTGGATATCTTACAACATCTTATAAATAAACTCCAAGAACATTAGCATTAATATATTTTATTAAAACAACAATATACTTTAGGTTGTTAATTTTTATATACTGTAACTGATGCTGGATATTTTTGAACTCATAAAATACAGTATCTTCAAAATCAGAAAAAGATCTAAGATAACAACCCCAAAGGACCTTCCTTGCTACTTTAAACTAAGCAATAATAAAATAATAAGCAGCACTAATGAATAAACTAATTAACAAACATCCCTAACAGCCCTTCACCTAAGCTACCATGAAATTAAATGAACCAGTTCTTTAATTGTCAAAAGTGATGCAAATTGAAATATCACATATGCCTGGAAATTTTATACAGAGCCACTTACAGTATCACTTGAGGAAGAAAAACAACTATTTTGATACAAGGTAATGTTCAATGATCCAAATATTGCCTTCCAATGGGTGTCTGACATCCATATCGCATGAAATGTTACTTTGAAAGCATTAAAAAATCAGTTAATTTTATCAATTATGTTCTGAAGCACAAACTTCTTCTTAATTCATGGAATGCAAACAGTTAATTGCTGATTAAAGATCGCGTAATCTATTAATTTTATGGGTAGTGTTTAATATTTGTTTTGTTTTTTCAATTATTAACTAAGGTAACCCAATATACAGTAGTATATATAGTACAGTATATACAAAAAAAACTTAGTGTCACTTAAAGAAATACCAGACAAAAAAAACAGTAAAGCTTTTTTTGTTTTAACCTCTTACTCTTCCAGACCATTTTAGACACTGTCCGCCTGGAATTTAATCCCCTTTTGTTATACAGTATCTCTGCAGCAGAACATAGCAGGAGCCTGGTTCAGGTCTTAAATTAAGCTAACCCCGTTGGCTGTGAGTGTGAACAGTCAAATTTCTTAATGTGTCCAATTAGCAGACAAACATTTAAAAAAAAACAACAGGCAAAAAAAATGTTTGGTCTTCAGAGGTCACTTACCATTGTAGGCCTGTCAGGTACCTGAAAAAAGTCTTGTAGGCCTTTTCCTAGGTGTCTACTAGCTTGGATAAACATTTAGGACAAATGGATCAATTTGAAAAAAATCTACATAACGTTTTATGAAGACTGGACCTTGAATTACCCCTTTTGAGTAAATGATTGACAGCTAGAAGGCAGGTGGAATGCAGCCTGAGGCTTCTAGAGGAAGTGTCACCACCTAAGGGCTCTGAATGGCTGAAAATACAATGAATAACAGTGCTTTTTACCAATCAGATCACCTTATTTCAGGTGGTCCAGTTTCAAATATCTATTCCAAAGCCAATAATCTACAGTTTCCTCCAGGTCTGGAGGTGAGTTAGTCTAGTCTTTTGTGGATATACATTGTGCTTCAGAAGAAGGTAAAAACATGGGATATATGTTTTTTTTTGCTTTTGCAGTCATGTTTTGCTGGCTTACTTATTTCTTTATCAATGCACTTTGGAAGTTTCGAAGTGCATCATCAGATAAAATTGTGTCCTTGTGATTGATTGCCTTGGTGTTTTTTGGTTCTGTAAATGGTTTTGTAAAGCTCCGGTTGTCCTTTTTCGATTGATAAAAGGTTTTGTAAAGGTTTTGTTGTTAAAAAACGATGAAATATGATGCTGGTCTCAAAAGTAAAAATGGACTTAGATTATGGTCGTATACGAGCACACGGCGCACAATCATATTTTGATTAAATCACCTTGGTGTTTTTCAGTTCTGAAAACAGTTTTGTGAAGCTCCAGTTGTCTCTTAAAAAAAAGGTTTTCTGTAAAGGTTTTGTGGTTTTGTTGATGTAACACGATGAATTGAGATGCGCCTCTTAAGTAAATATTTATTTAGCCTATACATGACTATGCGGAAGATTAAGAGGTAGTCATAGTTTTTCAAATGGCAACAACATCTCTGTAAGACATTTTTTCTAATATTAAGTTAGACCAAACAGTAGATTATTCATAAGCCCTGGTATTTTATTATGGCAGTAGATGGTGCCATCTACTATGGTCATATGGTTATAATTTTGTTGTGGTGCTGTGGTTGCATTACCATGATAGGAGGCAAGCACACTGACATGCCCATTCTTCCTCATTTGCATACACTGCAAGTGTTTTAAAAGTTTTGATGACAGTTATTGTCTTTTACTGGCAGGGAAAATATGAAACTTCTGGTGGCAAAAGTATAGGCTTATCAATGGGAAAGGTTTAATGTTGCTTTTCTCTGCTTTTGAGAGACTGATGTGATGGTATCTGACATTACAATTTAGTATTTAGTAATTTAGTTAGTTAGTATTAATTTTATTTTAACATGTATATATGTGCTGCTAGCAACTCTATATCAGCAAAGTATTGTAAGTGAAAACTGGGAGCAATTTTAATTTCGGATGGTGACATCAGTGCAAAATAATTAAAGTTGTTGTCAGGGGAAAGGGGATTTATTTTGTCTTTCAATTCGCTTTCCGTTTCTGATCAAGACTCGAGAAAGGCTTGAGCTGAACAGACCAAGCAACTGTACATCTTTGTCAGGACCTGGACAGAGAAGCAGAGAGCAAAGCCTTGCAGAATTTGTGATTGTTTTGTGATTTCTATTGTTTTCAATGATAAGTGTTTGCCACTGCAAGTCTGTCCATTTAGTATTTTTTGGCAATTACATGTGCCCCCTTTTCCTTTATTGATTGGTTTAGTGTTATTGCCTTTAATTGTAACTTGAGAATGCCTCCTTTGTTTAGCTTTCACAGAGTCTCCAGTGTAACGTTTTTTCAAAAGCCCATTGCTAATCTTGTATGATCTATTACTCATTTTGTTGCATGGTGTATGGGTGACCGCAGCCCTCCTAGTTCACTTCCTTGAATATGGCGTTGAAAGGCTTTTCTTTTCCAAAGTTTCATGAAACTAGAAATAATACATCTGGCAGTAAGATATCCTCTGAACACATAGGTAATAGGATCCAAATCAGCCAGATGATCTGAAAGGCCTCCTCTTGTTTACAATCTTAATGTTATGTTCTGATTGAGATATTGGAAGTTTGGATACAAACTGCAATGGTCTTTTTCACAAAACAAAATTCTGGGGCTTTTTAAAATTCAAAATATTTTGATAATATATAGATCTAATTTTTAATATAACAAATCAATAGTGCAAATGTAAAGCATCTGTGCTTTAGCGATCTGTAAAATCACAATAAGGATAGCACAAATTATTTTGATTTGGCTTACACTTTTTTTGCCTTTGTAATCCGTAAACAAAATGTGAATTTACATGTAATTTCCTATATGAAAAAGGATAACTACTGTATGATGTCCCGGTATTACCACCTATTTAACTAATTTTTTTAATTGTTTATATGGCCAATTATGAGTACTCACTACTGATGTTTTTCTTTTTTAAAAGTGCTACAGATAATTTATCTATCTTATCTGCAAGCTCCTCTCTAAGAATAATAAACCACTGAGTGTTAAACAGGAGCTTTTTTGTCTTTCAGTCATATTAACTAAATTCCATAAGCTGTTTATATTTGTATACCTTATGTACCCCAAGTATGATATACTGTACTGTACCATGGAAAGCTCCATATAAAATAATGGTTATTATTATTAACAATACACATGATCTTTAAAGGAAATGGAACTGATTTTTCCTTACAAGGCCATGTCACTCTACCATCTTATTTTAGTGCCACTGCAACAGTTGGTTTATTTTGTGACGATGACTTACCAGCAATGGATTCTGCTTCTGTGGTGGAAGTAATCTGTACAGGCTGCTCCATCCAAGGGGTAGCATGAATGGCTACACTCCAGTCGCTCCAGGTTCCAATCTCAGTGTCCTTGGCAGCCACTTGGATGATGTATTCTTTTCCTGCGTAAGCATCTGTGATGGTGTGGGAGGTACTTTCTGAGAGCTCCACCTGCCAAGGCAGTTAAAAAACTTAACGATGTCCATTCTTTCAACCACAACAGACCATTAATTCAAAATGGCTTCTGCATAGCTGGCAAGGACTAGGATGGACAAGCACCTTAATCCTAGGTGTGAGTGCTTTTGATTGAATTTCAGCTTCAGCTGCAAAATTAGTTTTCATGTACAGTACATGCTTGTTAAATGGAAGGGAATCACAGATCTATGGGAGTCAGGGAAAAATACCATTTCAAATAATTATTTATCAAAACCATCCTATGACACAGAGTATGAGTATGATACAATGTTCAGAGCTTCTCTGATAAAATACCTAAAAAATTACATTTCCATAGAAAATAACTCCAGTAGTATAAGCAAACAATATGTCTCTTCTCTCTTCAAGGGTCAGAGGGATCTCTGTGCTCCAGAAATTTCTTAATCTAATTGTGTTGTTACGTCCCAGTGTGTGGTCCGTGTGTGTTTTGTTGCTGTGTTTCACACTTCCTGACCTTGATTGTTCTGCCTCCCCCATTGGTCCATCATTACATCATTATTTCCTTTTGACGACGTCATCTTAAATCAGCTTCTCAGCCAATCATAGTGCAGATTATTTAGTATACAGATGCAGCCATTCAAAATGAGCGGTAAAAACCCATGGTACAGTAACCTACCCACAGGGCACCGGAGGGCACCGCAGTAAGTAATTGGCTGGCCAAAATGACCGACAGGGGCACTCGTGGTGCATTGGTTGGTAGTGAAAAGATTTAATCATTTAATGTCTTTACTGTGCACATTTTAATC